AGAAGCCGGGGTGCTCCGTGTGTCCCCCGCACTTCCCCCTTCGGATTGCCCCCCAAACCCACTAGGCTTCTGCCCAGCGACGCCTCGAACATTCCCTGAGAGCCTGGAGCCGATGGGCTGTGGTGTTTAAACGTAGCACGGCCAGAGAGCGCAATGCTGGTGCTTCCCTAGCCCAGCCAGAACGGGGCAGAGCGGGGCTAGATTGAAACTCCTTTGGGAAGCACCCACCTGTATTCAATGACGTACGGGGCAGCTGGTGCTGCTTAAGGTTGGACTATTAAAATTGTAGTGCTATTACTTTAAATGCAATGGGGGGTTTCCTGCTCCTGCTGGCAGCCAACGGGGCTCTGTCGGGAAGCCTGAAATCTGAGACAGTCCCTAAGAGCCAGACTTGAACCAGGGGAGTTGAGCTGGGCCTCGCTGCCTTGGGGAGCAGCCTGTTTTCTCGCTCCTGGTTTTGCTTCAGGTGTGTTATCTTGCTAGAGTCTAAATACGTTGCAACCTTCCAGGAAGAGTCTCGATGGGTTTAACCTAACTTGTGTGTGTGTGTGTTTGCGCACAGCCCACAAAACATAACACTTCGTAAAGAAACTTTTCCCATGTTTCTCCGCTGCATGACAGAGGCTCTCGCCCCCTTGAAATGGGAAGGCTGGGCTTTTTTCAGCTTTGTTTTTAAACCAGCAAGCCCCGAGGAAAGGTTATTTTAAGGGCAGAAGTGTCTGGGGAGTCTCACGGATGTGAACAATCACACAGCAAAGCTAAAGCGTGTGAATGTGATGAGCAAAGCCACAAGTCATTTAGCATTTACCGTCTCCTTACAACAATCTGGAGCCCGCTACCCCGTTGTCCTAGGACTGCAGATGGTTTAATTGCTCACTTCATCTTGAAGGGTCTCTTGCAATGTGTGTTAACTCCTTATGCTAAACAATCTGCTCCCCCTTGGATTTCGCTAGGATGCTGGGAGGCCCTTTCCTAGCCCCGCAGATGAGCTTGCTGAGGCTCGAAAGCTTGGCTCACTCCCCAACAGCAGTGTGTCCAATAAAAGATATTCGAGTTCTTGCTCATATCGATTCCAATTAGGTGTGCACGCACCGCGTGCACGATCGTCGGAAGACTTTTACCCTAGTAACACTCGATGGGTCGGCTGAGGCACCCCCTGGAGTGGCGCCCTTATGGCGCTGGATATATGCCCCTGCCGACCCAGCACCCCCTCAGTTCCTTCTTACCGCCCGTGATGGTCGTTGGAACTGTGGAGAGCGGCATAGCTGACCTCCACATCCCTAGCTCATGCCCAGGTCTCCGGGTTTCAAGCCTTGCTCGGCCTGTCTCAAGCCGATGCCCACAGGAGACCCCCCACGACTCCTGCTTGAAGTGCCTCGGGGAAGCTCATCAACCCGATAAGTGCCGCATTTATAAGGCCAAGCCTCGGACAAAAAAGGAGCGGGACTTTTGTTTAAAACAGCTCCTAATGGAAGCAGCACTTAGCCCGGTGCCCTGGGCACCGCCCGCGGATCAGGCACCGTCGGTCCGAAGCTCGCCTCTGACACCGGAACAACCCGGCACCAGCAAAGTCTCTCGGCACCGGACGTCTCTGGCACCGGTACAGACGCAGCACAGTTCACTATCTCCACGGCCCAAGAAGCAGCACAAACCATCTGCTGCTGCTCTGCAGTTGCAAGCATCGCCTGGGGCCCCAGTGGAGCAGTGCGCCGTGCCACACCGCACTGCGAAGGCGCCAACTCCGGCACCGTCGATTCCGGCACCGCAAGCGCCCTTGAGTCCGGTGCATATAAGCTCCCCGGTGCACACCGTGGTTGAGCTTGGCCTGCCATCCACTCCGGAGACCTCCACCACTTGCGACCTGATCGTACTAACTGAGCCTGGATCATCTCACCCTCCAGCACCGCCGGTGCAGACTGTTCCATCTATAGGGAAGCCAGCCTTCATGTGACCTCCATCGCAGAGTGAGACAGCTCGGCACCGATCTCGGTCTCGGTCCAGGTCGCGGTCTTGGCACCGATCCCCATCTCGGCGTCGGTCGTACTCACGGCGCCGCTCCGCCTCCCGAAGGTCTCCCTCTCGGTATGATCGGTACTGATCCAGCTCCCAGCACCAGTCCTGGCACCGATCATCTCGCAGCCGATCCCGGCACCATCCGCACTGTCGGTCCCCGTCGAGATCTAGATCAGCCTCCCGGCATCGTTATGACCGTCGGTCCCGATCCCGGTACCACTCGGGACCCTGGCGCCGGTCCCCAGCTCCCAGGCGCGGACTGACACAGCGTGATGGTTCAACGCAGCAGGCGTGTTCAGCACCACCTTGGCCTTCATGTCCAAATTCGACGTCATCCCAAGCGGCGAGTGGCTACCACATCCAGGGCCAAGACGCGGATGGCGCTAGCCAGGGGCCGGATGAAGGACAGGATCCTGACCAGGGACCCCCACAATGGTCCTTCTGGACTCCTTGGGCATACCACCAAGCCCAAAGTGTCCCCTCAGGCGCTTCTCGCTCGGCTCATTCGAAGCCTTGGGTGCCTGAGGCCACTGTGAGCCGTCCCCTCCCGATAGCCTCGGAGGCGACCGCCCTGCCACCTGAACAGGCTCATGCCCCTTGTGGGGTGGACCTAGGGGAACCAGATCCTCAACCAGACCTTCCCCAGGATCCGCTAGTCCAGGGATTGTCCTCCTCATCCTCGCCTGAATAGGCCATGGCAGGCACGTCCTCCTCTGGCCCACCACCTATAGATCTTCGTGCACACCAGGAGCTGCTGCGTAGGGTGGCACAGAACATGAACCTACAGGTGGAGGAGGTGGTGGAAGTTGAGGATCCTGTGGTGGACATTTTATCGGCCGATGCCCCCCACACGTGTAGCCTTACCGTCCATTCAGACCATTCAGGCTAATGCCAATACAATCTGGCAGTCCCCGGCGTCTATCCCTCCCACGGCCAGAGGGGTGGAGAGGACATACATGGTGCCCTCTAAGGATTATGAATATTTGTATGTCCACCCCCAACCTTGCTCCCTCGTTATACAGTCTGTAAACGAGAGGGAGAGACATGGCCAACAAGCGCCCACCCCGAAGTCCAAGGACGCGAGGCGCCTGGATTTGTTCGGGCACAAGATTTATTCTACAGGTGGTCGGCAGCTCAGGGTAGCTAAGGGTAGCTGTAGGGCGGCAACTTGGTCATCCGTGCATTCCTTTGCTTCCCACTATGCCATAGTGCAGCAGTCCAGGGATGATGTGGCATTTGGCTCAGCGATATCTAACTCCGACCCCACCGCCTAGGTAAGGCTTGGGAGTCACCTCATTGGAATCGAGATGAGCAAGCACTCGAAGAAGAAAAGACGGTTACTCACCATTGTAACTGTTGTTCTTCGAGATGTGTTGCTCATATCCATTCCAAACCCGCCCCCCTTCCCCACTGTCGGAGTAGCCAGCAAGAAGGAACTAAGGGGGCGCTGGGTCGGCAGAGGCATATATCTGGCGCCATAAGGGCGCCACTCCAGGGGGCGCCTCAGCCGACCCACCGGGTGTTGCTAGGGTAAAAATCTTCTGACGATCGTGCACGCGGCGCGCACTTAATTGGAATGGGGATGAGCAACACATCTCGAAGAACAACAGTTACACAGGTGAGTAACCGTCTTTTACTGACCTTCCCCACTACATGGATCTGATCCTCGTCTTTCAACCCTGCTCATGCCGGCACTGTTCCCACACAAACACCTGTGTGGAAATGTGACCTCACCGCTGGTGCGTCTCCCCATGGCCAGGCATGGCATGGCTGCTCTCTCCTCTCTGGTGCCCCCTCCTGGCTGGGCATGGCATAATGGTTCTCCCCTCTCCAGCGCCCCCTGCTGACAATCACTTTAGTCTCTTCTAGCAACTCGGCCCTTCAGCCAGGTCAGGCTTTAGTCACACCACAAAACCCAGCGTTTTTCCAGCTGGCCGTCGCCCCATGGTCCTTCCCCCCTTGCAGGGCTTTGAACCATCCTTATCCTCCTATGTCCAGGGGAGCCTCACACCCCCTTCCCCGGGCTGGCTGGGGGACCCAGGCCCATCCTCTGTCCTGGGCTCCAGTAACAGGCTCCAGTAATGGGCCCAACCCATTTACCCTTCTTGCGAGCTCAGCTGTGAACTGTGAGTGAAAGTCACAAAAACGTCCTCAGCCCCCGGCAACACTGACGGGAAGCAGACGAAAGGGAAACAGAAAAACGAAATGAGTCCAAAGCGAACGCGCCTCCAGCCAGAACGCACAGGCTGGGCAGGGATCACGCCTGGCAGCCAAGAGGAACTGAGGACTGAAAATTAATAAACCAAACTTGGTGCGTGGGAAATTAGCTGAAATTGGGAGACAGAATAACGAGGGGATGAGCTGCTCTGCCCCCCACTCCCTCTTGGGGTCCTTAAAGAAAATGGCTGAGAGGGAAAAACTGGTTTCTGGAGCATCACCATCGGGGCTGCTCCCCCCCACACCTCCTGGGACCCTGGGGCCTTCGGCCTCCTGACCACTTGAGTCATAACTGAGGCCTACAGAGCCAACGTGGGGTGTGAATGGGCAGGACAGAAGGGGGGGGGTTAAATCTAGTGCTAGCCTGACTTCCCCCCCGGCCCGAGCCACCCGGGCACCACAGGCAGTGCAAGGTGCAGGACAGAACAATCAGTCACAACAGCACCCTGCTTCTGAACACACTCTGGTGACGTCAATGCAACAGCAGGGGACGGGCCCCGTGCCCCATTCCCCGCTCCCCTGAGCCAGCCAGTCCTCACCCTGGGGCCAGATGGGAGCTGGCGCACCCTAGATGGGACAGGCCCCGTGCCCCATTCCCCTGCCCCCCTGAGCCAGCCAGTCCTCACCCTGGGGCCAGATGGGAGCTGGCGCACCCTAGATGGGACAGGCCCCGTGCCCCATTCCCTGCCCCCCTGAGCCAGCCAGTCCCTGCCCTGGGCCCAGAAGGGAGCCGGTGCCTCCCAGAAGAAAAAGGCCCCATATTAGCCGCATTATTTTTATTTCAAAATGACTTTATTGCTGCTAGAAAAGCGGGGTATTTACAGGGTTAAGGCTTGTGGGTCCAAGGTCAAGGCCTGTTGACCCCTCAGCGCCGCCTCTTGGCAGACCTGGGTGGGGCGGGGGCAGGACCCGACGCCCCCTTCCTCTTGCTCGCCCGGGTGGCAGGGGCAGTGGCGCTGGGCGGGGCAGGCGTCCCGTCCAGGCGGTAGGCGGCCAGGTCGACAGCCTGCTGGAGGATGCCCGTCAGGATGAACTCGGTGCTGGCGACGGGCAGCCGGGCGCTCAGGGCGGGTCGGCAGCGGGGCAGGTCTTCGGGGCAGGAGATGATGATGCGCTTGTCCTGAAAGGGTTAAATCCAGCTCACGCCCAACCCCCAGCACCCGCCTGTGTGCCCCTCCCTTCCCCACAGTCCCCTCCCTCCCGTCCCGCAGCCCCTCCCCCCTCACTCCAGCCTCGTCCCGCAGCCCCTCCCCCACTCCAGCCTCGCAGTCCCCCCTTCCTTCCATCACTCCTGCCCCACAGCCCCCCTCCCCGTGCCCCTCACTCCCGCCTCGCAGCCCCCCTTCCGTCACTGCCGCCTGCAGCCCTCCTCCCCCCACACCTCCCTCTGTGCCCCTCACTTCCGTCACTCCTGCCCCACAGCCGT